AAAAAGAAAAAGAAAATACATATGCACAATTCATTCCAGCATTATGTGTAGTAGCCAAAGTTTGGAAACTAATTCAATGTTCATCAGTAGGGGACTTGTTGAAAAACTATGGTATATCCAGGGCAAATGGCGTCTAAAGCAGCCAATAGTTCTGTAATGTACCAAAGGGTAACATCATCTGTGCCTTCCTTATATAAAACCATTTTACTTCAAATGTAAATATAAACACATATATATATATATATATATACATATATTTATTTTTTTTATTGGTAGAGACAGAGTCTCACTTTATCACCCTCGGCAGAGTGCTGTGTGACACCACTTACAGCAACCTCCTGCTCTTGGACTTAGGTGATTCTCTTGCCTCAGCCTCCCGAGTAGTTGGGACTACAGGTGCCTGCCATGACGCCCGGCTATTTTTTGTTGCAGTTTGTCTGGGACCGGGTTTGAACCCGCCACCCTCGGTGTATGGGACCAGCACCCTACTCACTGAGCCACAGGCCCCGCCCAAATGTAAACATATTTTGAGAACTGAATCAAAATGGAAAACATATTAAAATTTCTACAGTGACAGATTACCAAGAGCATTGCAGACATGTTGGCTTTTACTTACGGTTTACAGTTTTGACTGGTAATATTGGGTTTACCCTCTCGGGGGAGGCTGCATTTTTATCATCAGCCACATGTTCAAAATTAATGATGAACATCATTGCCACGCCTTCTTGATTTTTCACTGGAATTATGTGAGTGTTGCAAATAAAAGTAGATCCTAGGGAGATGGAAATGGAGTATTAGTCAGAAATATACCTTTGTTTTGACATGTCAGTATTATTAAAACTGAAATATACTCCATAAAGAATTTTCTATCTTAAATGGTCATGGAAATTCAATAAAAATAATTTGATTTTTTAATTCACAGTTTATTGCATACATATTCACTTAAAATATGCATAAATTTTGACAGAAAGATTTTATAGGCAAATTCAGTTATTACTACATTGTAGAAAAACAGAAATATCAAATCTCATTTGCCTTTATACTCATCCATATAATGGTTCATATTTTAAAATATATATATATATTCTTTAACTTCCTTGAAATAATTCTTACTCTTTCCTTGTGTTTTTTGATTAAAGCTAAATCTATTAAAATACATCTATACATACAGTGAAGATATTTTGTGCAGTCTTGATTTTAGCAATAAACAAATTATGCCCTTATTCTCTTCTAATTTCTTTGATATAAAATATTAAATTATTGTCTCTGTCTTAAAATGTTCCCAAAGTTCTTTGCTTTTTTTAATATGAAATTCATATTGCTCAAATTACAGTGGTTTTGTTTAATTTTTAATCTGTTAGAAAACAAGAACAAGTTTTTGTCTAGATTATTGTGTTAATTTGATATATTCAACCCAAACCATGATATTCTTAGAGAAGCAAAATTATATAGATAATAAGATATGTTTTATAATAATCATCTGTAAAGGAAATGAACAAAGGGATGATTCAGTTTGTAATCAATCACCGAGATCTGTTCTCCAACAAAAATACAAAGATTCAAGATTTAGAGCATACAGTTGAGAAGTTGATTCTAACTGATTCCTTGGAGCTGACTTCTAGAATTCTCTTAAAGCAGCTGGCTCAAATCTTTACCCTCTGTGTATTTTCTTTAGTCATGGTACTGAAAATCTCATAGGCTAGAGATTTGTTTGAGCTACAAATAAAGTATTATACTTTTAAAATGCAAAACTTCAAAGTGTTCTTAATCATTCAGCAAGTAGGGACAGCTTTCTTTTTCAACAATTAGCTGAGACCATCCTGAATCTAGAGGACAGTGATAAATAGGCAAAAACAGGTTGAGAGCCAGGTTGGGCTGGCACCAAACTTCAGGAGATGTGAGCAAGTGCCAGGACACTTGGAGCACTTGGACACTTGGAAACCAGGGGCTGGTAAACAGCTTGAAAGATGTAGTTGGGAGCCCTCTACATCAGCAAAAGCCATGGATACAAGTATTCCAAAATGGTGGCCTACATAAGCACTATTAAAAACAAATAAGTATGAGAAAATCTTTCCTTTCTTCTGATCCTGAATCATGACTCCTGATGTCAGTGCTGAGAACGAAGATTATTAGTGATACTGCTATATATTGATGACTTCACAGGGAAGACCTTTGAGGACAGGCCTAGAGACCTAATTATTCATAAAATTGTTTCCATGAGTAAACATGTTCTAATTTTCAAATAACTGATTTACAAATACAATTTTAGAACATAGATTCTTTCTAAGTTGGGAAAGTGTATGTGCTATTATAATCCAGACTTTCAAACGTGGATAGCTTCTCACATGTAAAATGTAGAGGACTTTATTCATAACGGACTTCACATTTTCTATAAATGTGGCAATAGTTTAACAGATGCTTGAAAATATGCTTCGGGAATGGCATGCTTTACTTTCAGTTTTTCATTATATCTTCTTTATTTATGGTAAATGTTTTTATTCTTATTTGCATCAGAAAAACTTGTATCATAGGTATTTGCTGATGGACAATTTTATTAGAGGCAGAGATGATCATTTCTTCCAGAAAAGCAATCTCTGACGTCAGAATGGGAGACCATTAAACAAGATATTTCACTTTTTCAAACTTTCCGATTTCACATTTTCTGTGGATGTGGCAATAGTTTTATAGATGTTAGAAAATACGCTTTAGGAAAGGCCTGATGGGCCTTCATTTTTCAGCTCTATCTTCAATTCATGTAATGAAATAGTTAGCTAGAGCACTTGTCATAGTTTCCATGGTAACAAACGGGATGACTTTAGTAAACAGAAAATAAACAATTTAAGACTGTTCCATTAGAACTAAAAATAGCAGTGCTTCAGGCCAGGCATCACAATACACACTGGTTCAACAGGGAGTCTGAGGAGATGCTAGAAATAGCCATTATGTACTTACTTTCCTAATGAACCAAAATACATATTGATTTTACCACTTAAAATGACATTTCCTGGATCATTTAGAATATCGTTGTGAATTTGTCGATTTGTTACTGAGCAGTTTTCAAATCTTTCAACATTTGGAGTATACTGTTGATTGTAAAACAGAATTTTAAACACCAGTTTTTGTTCTGTCAATCAGTAAAAGACATGAGGATGGAGATCTAATAGGTCTGTAACATAATAGAGTAATTTTGCGTTCAGTTGTGAGGGGCGGCATCATGTCTTCCAATATAAATGCTTGCAAATTTACTGTCTTGTACCTAAAATCATAAAATTATAGTGTTTTAGAGAAAAGTTCAGCAGTGACTCCACAGCATATTTAGTGTAATTAACCTGTTATTTATTGCCCAGGTTTTTGTACGTTTCTTTTGAAGCAACATTATCTCCTGTCAAGTCTGCTGAAGACTCATATTTGCATGCTTTTTCTTTTTTAGTTTGGTGATTTAATATCTCCATCAATCTTGCCTAGTCTTCTGAAAGGCAGACTATGAAAGGAGATACATGGAATTTAGAAGAGGCAAATAGAATAAATTTGATAGAGTACAAACATTTTAGCTACACAACTCCAAGCTCTGTCAAGGTGCTACTTTTGTAAAGTGACATTGTTCCAAGAAGTTATCACTATGTGTTTCTAAATATCTTTGTGAATGCAACATGTCAAGCAAAAGCAACAGTAACATAATCTAGCAAGTACTAACCTTGCAATGAAGAAAAAGCAGACACTTAATAATGTAGAAATAATAGAATGAAATAAATCTGGAAAAAGTTCAGATCTTATTAACATAAGTGTTACATTCCAATGAATGTGTTAAAATGAACCTTATATTCAAATGAAATTAATACTGTTAAGAAGCTGTTTGTTTACAATAACATCCATTACTTGGAAAATTACACATGCAATTATACTAATATTAGTTAGACTCAGGTTCATGTCCATGTTTTGTCATCTGAGTGCAGATATTCCTAAGGTGGGAAGGGCTGTTTCAAAGGAACAGTGCTCATTTTAATAAAATTTCCAGAATGTATAATTTTAACTATAGCTATTCAACAAGCAAACTCAAGGTAATCTGAAAATTATAAGCATTATTCCTTTATTATTAATTTAGTGGCATACACCTAGTTGCATTTTAAAATAACATGTCAGAGTGAGACCCTGTCTCTGAAAAAGCACATGCCTGGACCCCCCCTTTGAACCACTTTACATGTGTTTTATTCTTCGGCCTGTGGTTTGTGTGCACAGCCTGTGCTCCCAGGAACAGCGTGGAAGCCAATGTGAGTTAGCAGTGTGGTGTTTGTGGGGTAGAGGAAGGGAGGGAGAGAAACCAGCAGGGCCACTCTGCGGAGGGGGCCCAACCATGGATCTGAAACTTTTCTCTGAGTTAGACAGGAGGGTGTTGGAGAGTTCTATGCTGAGGGTTGACATGATTTGACTTAAAACTATCCCTTTAATGTGACTGTGAAGAACCGCTTTGCAGGGGGTGGGGCTAGGATGAAGCAGGGAGGCCAGTTAAGAAAACATTTCAATAGTCCACCTGAGCCATGAGAATGGTTTGGACCAAGGGGATGTTGTTGAAGGTGATAAGAAGGGTTCTGTTTGGGATGTTTTGACGGTAGCGGCTTCTCCTTTGATTTCCCTACTCTTCCTGCCTTACCCTCTGACAATTTACTATAGATATGGTTCTTCAGTTTACTTATCTGTACACTGGGGATACTCTGTATGTCATAGAATTATGCTGGAAGTTAAATGAGTTAATACTGTGTACTAGGATATTTGATTAGGATTTTCTGTCACTATTTTCACTGACATGATATGCTAATGTGATAGTCTCCAGGAAACTGCAGTGAGAATGACCCTCTTCCACTCCCTACATGTAAATTGACAAAGAAAACCTACAAAACTTTTAAGTCAACCATGTAAAAAGCCAGGTAGTGCACAGGAGAGCGGTGTGGGGGACTGGGGAACCATTCTTTGGAAAGGACTGTTGGACTGCTGTGAGTTTCCCTTCTTCCTACCTTTGTGAACTGCCTTCATTCAAGGCTGGGCCTAATGAGGGGACCTGAAGAGTCCACCCCAAGACCTTTAAAATGTGCTTTCTGCACTTGGGCAGCACAGAGGATGCCTTCGAAAAGCTAGTGTGGATGAACAGGTGGTCATTGTAGGACCTCAACCCTGCAGATGTGAAGGGAACAGAAGGGATGACCTCTCCACTTCTGCAGAGTCAGGGAGTCATGATTGGGATAGGCTTGTGCACCAGTATCAGTGGAAGGGCTTCAAGGTGGCCCCTGTGACCTGAGTGTCTGACCAAGAGCCATCACAGGGTCCTTGGATAGGAGGCAGAGGGACTCCAGAGCGATGACCAGGCCATATGCCATCTGCTGATGGGGGACAAGGAAGGAAAGATCTAGGAGCCTGGGGGCAGAGGGAAAGTCTTGCGGGAAGGGACCTGCAAGGAGCAGGGTCCAGGCATGGGCTCTGAAGACCCCTCTAAGTGCCCAGGGAAGACGGCACCAACTCTGCCTCTGTTCTAGAACCAGAGAGGGCCACCAGGCCAGCCAGGTAAGGAGCGGCCTGCTCCACACCTTCGTCCCTCTCACCTTCCTCCTGGAGTGATGGCAACCAGACAGTAAAGAGGGAAGGTGGTAAAGGGAAGAAAGTCGGGGCCTGTTTCCCGCTGCAGTCTAACCTGGAGCAGTCTGGGAATTATAACTTTAGGAATGACACTGCCTTTCACAATGGAAAATTAATATAAGGCTTTATTACCTGAGAGTGACCCAG